TATTAAGTCAATAGAGCACATCACAATCCTAGTAAAGAAATTGAGCCAACCTAAGGATCCCAATAATGAAATAAGCCTTATGAATCAGCAAAATTTATGAAAGAGTAGAAATGATAAAGAAAATCCACAAGCTATTATATAATTCTAGAAATTGAAGAGATAAATATTTGAATAGTAAAAACAAAAGAGCTAACACAAAAATAGTACTAATAGCCAAAAGAAAATATAAAACAATTGTGATTATGAAATCAACTAAGAAGGGTTGAAAAAATATCTCAAACTTGTAACAAAGCTTGACTATAAGAGCCTAATGCTTCATGTTGATGTGAAATGAGTTACAGTTGTCCAATTTCATAACAACCAAGCCAAGTGGAAGTTCCAATTTGATATTGTGCCTAGTTTTGCATATTAGGATGAACAAACACGGGCACAGTGACACAGATACGATATAACACGAACATGAGACACTTCAATTATTGAAACTATATGATACATATATAGGTTGGACACGGTATTATATTTTTTTATATTTTAAAAACAGCGTATAAAAATTAAGTATAATATTAAAAATAATTTAGAATTTGTGCTTTAAATGATTAATATTAGGATGTCGAGAGTTGGGCGTCGATGTCGTGTATCGGACATCGAGAAAGGAGATAACAATGCTATCGAGGTCAAGCATCAATGTTATGCAGTAAGTATCGAACGTCGATGTCAAGAGGGCATTAGTTATTGATGTTTAGAAGGCGTTGGTCATCGATGTTAAGACGATTTCAGACAAAGATGAGCTGTCAAGTTGTGGGCGTAAAAATTGTTTGCATCGAGCATCATTGTCAAGATAGTGTTAGACTTTAATGCTGAGATGATCTTGAAATGTTGATGTTGTAACGATGTCAGACTTTGATGTTAAGATGACATCATACATTGTTGTGAAACCAATAGTTTCTACCCGCTAAAAAGAAATGAATATGAGAATATTCGATGAATGAAATATTGAGTGCGGACGATTGATTTTGTGTTGTGGCTAGGGAATAAGAAATTTAGTTTTTATATTTTAAATAAATAAGAATTTTAAATACAAGAAATTATATTTAAAAAAATTCATAAAATAATTAAGACACGTGTGTCGGACATGCGTGCCCAATTTGTATTTAATATTTTTTTAATCAAACACGTTTTCGGCGATTCCGACACGTGTCGGATACATATCGGACACTGCACGCCTCTTTGTGGGGAAGTGTCGGTGCATCATAGTTTGCATATAAATGGATTACTTCTACTAAAGAGAACATTAATGTGGACCCTTCATAAGTTGTAGATAATGATAGTCATTACTTAATAAGGAACACATTGTTAAGGAAAAGGTGAGAGTTATAAAAAACTTTGTATGATAAGATGATGGGCAATTAGTAGGAGTGTAACTGTATTTAAAAAGGTATAAAAATAATAAATCACGGAAGAAAGAGTATTTAAAGAACAAATAGTTGTGGTCTCTTAGGCCTAAAGAGCACACATTAGGAATTCCAATGTAGGTTGACATTTTTAACTTGTTGCTGAAAGTCATCCAAGCTATAGACTAAACTATAGTTAAGCTCCTTAAGTCTAAACAAAGGGATGCCAATAGAATCAGCTACCAGATGGAAATGTATGACATTAGATAGTGAGAAGAAAAATGATCTGTTTCATAGAATTTTGTGTTCATCTATGGAAGAGGTAGAAATGGTAAGAGAGTTCAAGTCATGATACATCAAGAATATAGCTCCAATAATTTTCCAAGCCGTTGCCTTTTATGTAACATTAAACCGAAAAGACAGTGGGCGCATAATAATAGTGGCCATCAATCCAAGGGCTGATAATTGAGGTACTTAGCCTTCATTTAGTTGGCCCAATACCAATTTTTTGTGATCATTTTCCAAGAAAGCTTAAGTCTTGTTGTAATGTTAATAAATATTGGGTTAGGTAGGCTCTAACCATGCAAATTCTTGGGGTTATAGGCTCTGTTTCTAGAAATAGAGCGCACTTTCTTAGGTGCCCAACCATATTGGATAAGTCTATTAAAATTGATAAATTCTAATGAATAATAGACTTGGGAATATATAAAGTATGGCTCCAATAATTAATTATAAATAAGATGTTAGTTTTATAACCTGGAAGTAACACACTAAGAATACAACAACAACAATAACATCAAACATTTATCCCAAGCCTTTATCGCACTTTCTTAGGTGCCCAACCAGATTGAATAAATCTATTAAAATTGATAAATTCTAATGAATAATAGACTTGGGAATAGATAAAGTATGGCTCCAATAATTGATCATAGATAAGATGTTAGTTTTATAACCTGGAAGTAACACGCTAAGAATACAACAACAACAATTATATCAAGCCTTTATCCTACTATGTGGGGTCGGCTACATGAATAATTTTTCTTTTTTGTGTCCGATTAAGAGTTAAATTCTCATTTATACCTAATAAAGAAATATCATTTCTAATATTTTCTAACCAAATCTTTTTAGGTCTACTTCTACCTTTCTTAACATAGGTTAAATCTAATACATATACTCTCCTAACTGGGTCATCAGAAGACCGCCGTTTTATGTGACCAAGCCATCTAAGGCGACTCTCTCTAATCTTATCTGCCACTGAAGCTACTCGAACATTTTCATGTATATGCTCATTTCGTATCCTGTCTACCTCTACCTTTCTTAGGTAGAGGTAGAATAAAGAGCACTCTTTCCAACTAGGAAGTCTTGACTTTATTTTATTAATAAGAGCTTGACAGAGCAGAACATTAATATTAGAGGTGGAAAGAGGAAGAACTAGGTAAATAATACTTACCAATAGGGACATGAACAATGTTAGCTTGGTCAATATAATTGATAATGTTAATAGTGAATATAACATGACTTCTAGCGGTGTTAAAAGCCAACCCAAAAATATCATTGAAATAATAAAGAGTTGAATATAACACTTTATGAATAGAAGGAACATCCTTACCAAAGATAAGCATATCATTGCAAATAACAGGTGAGGAACTTTGGACTTGGGCAGGGATACTCAATCAAATTATTTTCTAACTCAATCTTGGTTTTGAGAAAGCAAGAAATATCATCTATAACAAAGGCAAAACATACAGTGATAGAAGGAAACCCTCCCTCAACCCTCTAGATGAGTGCAAGTAAACTTCTAGGAAACTATGAAGTTGATAGAAGAGAAAGTACTCATTGATACAATGTTTGATCAAGCAAATACACTTGGTAGGGAAAGGCTATCATCCATCCATTGAAAAAGAGAAACTCTCTACAAATTTTGAAAATGTCAATTGACAAACATTCATAGATGAAATAGCTTTGTGGAAACCTCTATCCAGCTTAGAGGCCTACGAAATATTTTCATTAATGAACCTACCAAAAATAAAAGCTTCATAAGTAGGAGAAATAATGGAGCTTATAACATTTTTAATCCTACTAGTGGGAATCCCAATAGTATTTTAAAGAAATTACACAAAGAAATCAATCTGAAGTCAAGGATGGAGATCGAAGAACTAGACTTAGAAATGAGAATAATAGAAATAACTTAAACATTTCTAAGAATTCTCATGAAGGATAATAAGAAGAGGATAACATTAGTGATGCATTGGCTTGCAACATCCCTAGTAAATTTGAATTATTTAGCTTTAAGACCCGAGAGATAAGATTACTGATAAGATCATTAGGGACAGTATTCCTACAAGGAATATCTAGACATTGGGAGGCACAGTTGCTATTAATGAATTGATTATAGAGTTTGATTGTCTCAGTAGCAATCTCATTGTAGTTAAATATTTTGCCATTCTTATAATTAGAAAAACCTATTCATGTTAAAAGCTTTTTTTTTTGTTGATCTTATGATTCAAATATATTGTTATATTTTCCTTTATACAACCAGTGGGCATTTGCTCTTTAGAAACTCAAGGAATTTTTCAAATTGGATAGATGCCTGATAATAACAATAATTTTTTTTAACATCATATCATTTTGAAGAGGGTTAATATCCAACATAGAGTAGTCAAGTTTACCACTGGTCTCTACAAATTTGTTTTGTATTTTAGAAGAAAGCTAGAACTCTTTATCTTAAGTCTCCTTTTGACTTCTTTAAGTTTTTTAAATTGTTGCCAAAAACAAACAGAGGATGCCGCACATAGATGCTCCAAACATTAGCCATAAATTATGAAACTAAGAAGAGAAGCCTAATAATTCTTGAACTTGAGACTGGAGTTCTTTTGACATTTTGTGGTAGTAGGGTGAAGTAGAATATAAAAATGATCTTTGACGGACATGTACTTAATACATGATAAAAGTGTTTAGGGGTAATAATGTTGGCTATAAAAGTAACACCCCACGATACTCCTTAACAGTAACATAGAGTATCACAAAAATAAGCATAACATCAATTTTTTTCTTTTATCCTTCCTCACACAATTTCATCCTTGAATAAAACATCCAACTACAATGTCATTTATATAGTAAACAGAAGCATCTAGTTAATCCAAATTTTAAAACATAAATATCTATAGAGCCACTAAGAAAATCAAAAGAGTACAACACTGAACAGTATATATATCTCAGATATAGACTTACAAACAAAGTTAAATACTAGCTTATAAAATTAAACAACTTAAAACTTATTTTACTTCGACCTTTTCCTTTTCTTTTTTTGTAATAAAAACCATTATGAAAAGCACGGGTGAGTTATGAGTCTCAATAAATATATATAAGTTACATAAAATTAAATATCAAATTATAAAGAATAACATGATTGAATTAATTTAGAAATATTTGCAAAATAACATAAATCATATTTTAAAAATCATCATTTCATTCATTTGAAGTCTATACAGAATATCAATATTAGTCTTTAAAGATTTGATTAAATTTTCAAAAAAATGTTCAATAAAGCCTCGATAAATATGACATTATCGACATTAAATAATATAGATGTCTTTTTTATCTTTTTAGGGGTCAATTTTGTCATACCTACTATACATGTATCATATCTCTGGATCTCCTTTGCCCTGCTTACAATGCAGTGTCATATATGGGGACCATTTTGCCTCACCTGCATTTGTAAGTTGTATATCATTTTATAGTCAATATTTTCTAATTTTTGATATTCAATATATTTCACAACATAGTAATTTATACTTGACTTGCCATGTATAAAATTTCATAAGAATTTGTCTCTTGCTATACTTACATACCAGGATGTGTTGGCCAATATTAAAATTAATGATATCTTTTTAAACTATTATCAACTTGAAATATTAAAATAATAATCATAAATCTTATTTTAAATTTTAATGATACATACATGCAAGTGGTTGTTGATACAAGATAACTTGAAAGTATACTCAATTTCATTACATTATACAAACACGCTTTATCTTATTTCCATTTGCAAGTCTTCGTATGGATATGTAGTTGCTTATTAATGCATACAAAGATGTATGTTCATATTTCATATTTGGAATTATCTTAACACAATCAACCTTTTAAATGAATCAACTGATATTGTATGCATCAAGAATTTATAATATTTATTTTTTGTAATTTATAATTGCATAACTTACTTCTTTGATGAACTACCTCTTCCAATTCTACACCATGTAATCTTTTTCTTTGATAAATTATCTCAAAACACTTTTTTTTTGCATATATCTGATGAATCCTAAAATTATAATTGGTATGAACTTCTTTAGAAACTTTACCGAATTTAAGAAATAGAAAAGATAACGAAAAACATTATAATTTCTTACCTCCTCCTAATACTTGTTATTCGTACTTCATTGTTTCCTCGAAGCAATTGCTTGCTCTCATCAATTGAATTATCCCACAGTCACTGTTATCTCAATTCCTTCTTTACTTTACTATGCCGATTTCTTCTATATGTACTGTGCCGATTCTGCTATAGTAATTCATGCACTGTGTCGAAATCCATAACAATACACTGTGCCGACCTCTGTTACAGGAATTTCTGCACAATACCCAATAATTCTACAATCCAGCGGGCACTGTGCCGAACTCCCTTTTCCTTGCACTGTGCCGAACACTCTACAATGGCTGCTTGTATGAATTCCAAACAAATGTAAGGATAGAGTGGACCCCATGCTATAGCTTCTCTCTCCTCTTACATCCCAAAGGAAGCATCTATTTAGAACATTAATTTCCATTTAATATTTTGCTTAAAATTTCTATTAATATTTATTTAATAGTACTTAATTGTTAAATAAAAATTAAATTATTTTACTATGAATTAATAAACTTAGTTAATTTTAAAAGAAATAATGTGTTGAATTTCTATTACCTGAAATTTCTGATTATTACAAATCTTCCCTTAAAAGAATTTCGTCTCCGAAAATTCAGCTTTTCATACATCTTCAAATAGGTAAAAAAATTTCTTTCTTATGTCTGCCTCTTTTTCTCATGTAGCATGTTTTACTAACCTATGCTTTCACTTTACTTTTACAAAAGGAATTATTCTGCTTCTCAATTTATGAACATCCTTTTCTCATATCCTTTCAGGTGTTTCAATATAAATCAAATCCTTATGAAGTTCAATTTCATTTGGATGAATTTTCCGAATTTCATGTGTAACTCATTTTCTGAGCATTGATACATGAAAAATATTATGTACATCAAATATATCTACAGGTAGTGCTAATTTGTAAGCAACTTGTCCCATTCTTTCAATATTCTCAAATGAGCCAATGTATCGAGGACTGAGATTTCCACCTTGACCAAATTTAGAAACACCCTTCATTGGTCTCACCTTCAAGAATACAAAATCTCTTATTTCAAATTATATCATTTTATGCTTGGGATCATAGTATTTCTGTTGGGTTCTTGAACTGCTTTTAATGTCTTTAATCAATCTAACATTTTTAGTAGCTTGATTCATTAATTATGAATCCAATAATTGCCTTTCACCAATTTCAAACCAATTCAATGGAGTTCAACATTTTCTGCCATATAAAATTTCATATGGAGCCATCTTGATACTTGATTGGTAGCTATTATTGTAAGTGAACTCTATTAATAAAATATTATCTTCCAGCCATCTCCAAAATCTAGAATACACAATCTTAACAAATATTCCTGCACTTGAATTAATCTTTCTTATTAAATATCTGTCTGTGGATGAAATGCAATACTGAACTTCAATTTTGTGCCCAAACTTTCATGTATGCTCTTCCATAATTTAGATGTAAAACGTCCATTTCTATCCGACACAATATCCTTAGGATTTCCATGTAATCTGATGATTTCCTTCACAAATAACATAGACAATTTCTCTACTGAATCAGCCTGACTAATATATAGAAAATGTGCTAACTTTGTTAGTCTATCAATCATAGCTTATATACAATCATGCCCTTGCCTTGATATGGAAAATCCTGTAATAAAATCTATAGCTATTTCTTCCTACTTTCATTCTTGAAATGGTAAAGATTGTAACATGCCACTGAGTTTCTGATGATATGCTTCAATAATTTGACATTTTTCACATTTAGCCACATATTATGTCTCATCTCTTTGTTGACATCTGAATATAAGTGAACAAAATGAAATAATAAAAAAAATGCTTGAACTATGACATACCTGCCTTCAAATCCTGTTCATATCTGCTTTGGTCGCTACAATCCTGTCGCTGCAATGCCCATGTCCTGCAAACGGCGCCTAAACAGACCACTTATGCATGCTTCGCCTCGATTTCGCTCCGAATTACGTTAATAAAATGGAGAGACGAGGCCCTCAACTTCTTTGCTTCTTCTCTTACATACGAAATCCTAACTCCCAACTCCCAATTCTCCTCTAACCGGGTCTCATGCACATGAGACTCTTCTTCCCGCAACTTCCTCACCCCGTCACTACTTCCGGTTCATCAAAGACACCTCCATTTATAAGCCCAAATCTCTACCTTTTTCAGCAAAGACCTCCTTTATTGCGCGTGGTGGGATGGGAACCCAGTACGACGCCTACGACGAGGCGGGGTCACTTATAAGTAACCTCGAGCGAGGGGAAAGCCAATTGTCTTTTAAAAAAGGTACCCTCAAAGACCCCATACACGTCTTTTTTGCGCGTGGTGGGAATGAAGACCACGGCTGCGGTGTCTAAGGACACCTACTATACACGCCTTTATTGCGCGTGGTGGGAAGGCCCAGTTTCTCGTAGTTTCCCTAAACAAGGGAGACGCCGGGAGGCTGCCGAAATTTCGGGTGAATATAAGACCGCACTCAGACTTAAATTTGAACCGGCGGCGAATGAAAATGAACTTAATATTGATTTAAATGAACATGTAAGATCCAATTTGAACTTGCTAAGCGAACGATAACAAATAGAACCTAAATGAATTTAAATCAAAGCAAGTGACATTGAACTGCAAGGGACTATGATTGAACTTGGACTCAGACCGAATAAGAACTCAAACTCAAACTTGAACTTGCAAGGACACTTGTGAACTTGCACTTGATTTGAATTAAGTATGGTGGGTATGAACTTGAACTAGATTCAAGGAATTGTGCTCAAGATGATAAGAAGATTTGAACAAAGAATATTAAAGACCCAACTTGAATTCAAATGAATTATGTGCAAGAAAACTCAGATTCAATTGAACTAAATGCAGTGGACATGAACTCAGTTTGAACTCAGACTTGAACTTTACAAGACCACAGGGGACTTGACTTGCACTTGAGCGAACAATAGTGGACTCAAAATTGAATGAATTTGAACTCAAATGAGCAGTAGTGGACTTGAATTAAACTCAATTAACTTAACTAAAACTTGCACAAATGCAAAAGCCTTGGACTTTAACAAATCATATGAAATCAAGCCTAAACCATGATGCAATAAGCCAAACTTGATTCCAAATAACATAACATTTGCAAGCAAGAACTCATACAGAGTGTTGAATGAATTCTCAAGGTATACAAATGATGAATGATAGAATTAAATGGCTTGAAACATTAAAGCAAAATCAACTTGCAAATGAGGACAAGTGATATCCACATTGTCATGCAAGCAAATTCAACTTCCCCTATAAAAAAAGAGATTTGATTTGAATAGGGAAATCAACAATAATTGTGGCGCATTTTGTTCATTGCAAATGTAGGAGTGCAAACAATATACTACAAGTGACATCAAAGGAGCTATAAGGAATGCAATGTAATCTCTCTTATCAACAACAATTTAATTCTAATAAGATACAATAACGAAGGAGATCAAATGCTAATGAGCAAATAAAAGACCTGTATGAAATGAATACTAAATGCAAGAGCAACAGACATGTCAGTAACAACATACTCAATGAAATATGCATGAATTATAACAAGGATCATGCGGTGATATGTCCGTAAGAAAAGTAAATGAGAGGTAGGAGGAGCAGATCCTTGCTATCAATGCGGACTAATGTGTAAATGTGCACCTAACAATTTACTTTCAATGAGAAGGATAGATAAGCCATAAGAGACGCACCATGATCAGCATGTTAGTCGCAACAAGAAAGATTCGACATGAGGTGGAAGTAATAATCTGATATATCTAGATGTATCCAAATGAATGTTAACATCAGCATTTAAGTGAATGCACTAAGCCTTCTATGAATGATGATAGTAGACATGGGCGCAACTATGATAAATATCCTGCAGAATCTAAGGCTGAATTGCGCAATTCAGTGTGAGGTGCATGCCTCTAGAATTCGGGACCCGCACACTTAAGCCTTAATGCATTAAACTTTCTTCCTCCCCTCTCATATTAGCCTACTTGATTCCGAGCAGACAAAAAAAGCCGCAGGCCTGCAACCCTCTTCCGCATGACGTCCGCTCGGCCTCCCTTCACGCCGCCTCTCTCGCCAGCACGGCCTCACTCCGGCGATCTTGAAGTGTCTGGCTGCCCTCTAGGAGAAGTCCACAACTGATTTTAATTTTTTTTTTAGTTAAACAAAAGATTTTTCAAATGAAAAAAAATCTAAGGTTTTTTATTTTTTGATTTTTTTTTTATTTTCTTATTTGTGCATTAGGAAACGTGGTTAGAGGCAAGAGAAAGGCAAATACGTCATTGTGGTATGGACC